GCTACTGTAGTACTGTGTAGCGGCAGCTGTATGTACAATTCACATCGTCGTTAAAGCAAGAGACGAAAGAGTAATTAAAAAATAGATCATAGATCAAATCTAGCCCGCCACAACTGTACTTACTCATCAGCATCTTAAAATCAGAAAGGCGTCGAGTGAAGATAACATTACGGCAAAATTTCTGAATGTGGGTAGAAAATCGGTACTAACTTATCGGTAATAAGTTAGCTAAAGTGTCAATGCTCCGGCAACCGAAGGGCAAGTAAAGTTTCCGAGTTTACAGAGTTGACGAGCAGAAAATCTTTTGATACAATAAAATATTTTTTGTATTAATACTTCGGAGGGTAGTATTTCTCAAGTCTATCGTGCAGAGAGCCGTGGTAGCTCAGGGGCTTAGCGCTTGCTGTAAATTTCAGAGTACGCGAGCAACCCGGGTTTGATCCCCGCCGTCACCAATTAATTTTTTAATTGCAATTTTAAATGCTGATTTACCACGTTTTCGCCGGTGAAGGAAAACATCGAAGAGATGTGAAGTTCACAAACACGCATTGGGGCAGCGCGGCGGACGTTTCCATGACCTACTTCCACAGGGGAGGCCTGTGCCCAGTTGTAGGTCTTATGTTGTAGGCTGTAACTTTACTTTACTTTTATTTCTGCCACAGAAATCTAAATAATAATTAAATTTCTGTGATTTCTACAGTTGACATATGATATGCTATAATAATACACACAACTAAAATAAATTAAGATGACGATGACGATATGATATTAAGTATGTAGGTAAATACATGTTTACACGAATGTTATAGAGTAACCACTTACATTATTATTTGACTTTTTACTCCTAAACATAAATAAATGAAATTATAACAATTTTGTAAAAATGAAATAAAATAAAATAAAGTAAAAGGAATAAGATATAATTTTTAGAATAAGAAATAAATTATTCAAAAATTAGCGATTTTGACAGAGCGTAAATTGACAAATGACGTATTCTAACTCCTAGATTAACTCCTATAAATTTATTAGAGATCTAAAATAAATATTGTTTTTTTTTAATATTTTTGTTTTATGTAGATATCAAAGAGTATAATATAATTTCTACGTTTGTAGATATAACATGATTCTAATCGCCGATATAAGCACCACTGAGTTCCGTGAACATAGGCTTCAGCTACATCACCTCTGTCGGAGATCGGTTATTGTGAGATTTTTCCCGCCACGTGCTGTTTTACCATGTTAATGACATTGCCTATAATTCAAGTTAGCAAGCTAGTGTAAGTAATTTATCAAGTTCCATTTTCGCTCGTTTCGTTTCCATGTACCTATTAACTTTGAACAACTATTAATATCCATACATTGAGATATTATGTACTACATACTAGAGGCGACACTGCATTCAGCTACTCTGTTCCATTCAACTGCGGTGCTTACACCGCACTTCAATCGGTCACTTCGCTAGGCGCTTGTAGAGTTACGTGTTGTTTTGATTTTTAAAAAAATCTCTTGATATAAACATGCCCTCGCCAACTTAGATATTGCACAATTAATTCAAAAAATGTCACTAAAAACCAAGGAATTACTTTTCATCGGTTAATAAGATACTTAATGAATAAAAAAGTATTATAGATTAATAATAAAACAAATTATTCCTAAGACGCCATCTCCTGTCATGGAATATAGATTATGAAATTAATTTGTTCAGATGCGACATTTCTGTGCGTACTTAAGTATAGGACGAATATATTATTATACACATTTTTTTGTAGAAACATATATAAGTTATCATACTTAGGCTAAATTTTTTATTTTAAATCTGCTCATTATTCTTTTATTTTATTTTTAGGTTTCCACATCAAAGTCAAAGTGGAATAAATTCGTCCATTTTTAACTCTCGCGTGCCCAGCTTTTATGAAAGACTTATTCTAATTTTAATGTTATATTAATAAGTTTTGTTAAACATACATTTAGTGCTAGATACAATATTCAGATAAAAATTATCATTAAAATGTAATTGTGATATAATATTATGTAATATTATATTAAATAAGTAAATATAATATACAAAATAAACGACCAAATTTAAAAATTGTACTCGATATAATTTACCTGCTGATCATTCTACCTATGTATATTCTATCATAAACAACCGCGCGAACACAGAGTAGAGCACATTTTTTGTTTGATAGCTGTGCTAGTACGTAAGTACATATTACTTTAATCTATCCATAGAATAAATAGGTGATATGGCTCATTATCTGGCTAGGAGTCCGCCTGGGTGGGCACTACCCTCTTAACTATTTTTTCGTCATGCAGTAGTGCTTGCACCGCTGTATTCTAATTTAAAAGGGGGTTCTTTAGTGTGTCCACTTTTCGGTGACAGTATTTTTGTCAAGTGTTGAGCCAGTTTATAAGTTGGTGAATCTATTTGGCTCACTATTAGACATAGTGGAGTGTTTAGTTTGTGCATTTTGGGTAACACACACATGGTTATATGATACTGAATTCGACGCTGACAGTGAAACTATGGTCAGTTTGATGTCCAGTCACTATTTACATACGGCCTACCGTATATAATATATGAATAGTGACTGGACATCAAAAGAAGACTGCATCTCAATTGTGACTAGGAAGCTAGAAGAAAACAAAATACCTGCAGAATATGCAATTTTACCCAAACACTGCTTCACTGCTATTTATTGTGAAAGTAGAAGTTCTATCATGTAGAATTTCATCAAGTAGAATTTCTATCTATTCATGCTACACTTGCTGATTCTGTCGCTGATGTGGTACTTCGGGGTATGGAACTTTTTATTTTCTTCCTCTGTGGTGCCTATCGGAGGGAGATCTCAGCCATGGTTTAGTCGGTCCTATAAAAAAGCATATGTTATAAGCAGGAATGCTACCGGACCTGGGCTGAACTATCAACGTCCCGGGATGTAAACACCAGCAAGCTATATGCTCTGACTTTGCCTTGGCAATGACTCTTTTGAGAGGCAGAATTGGCGAGAAACTAGTTCGTCTTACCTCTGGAACACGTGTATTCTAATCTCTCGCCAAGGCTATCCAAGGGAGTTTCTGTCAGCCATCTCTTCCATCTCTGCACTGAAAGGATGACTCTCTGGCCCATACTGCAAAGGAGAAAGCCGATCTTCTAGGCTCTTTCTTTGCGTCCAACTCAATTCTCGATGACGGGGGGACCACACCGCCGACCATCCCGCAGTGTGAGTGCTCTATGTCGGATGTGCGGTTCACACAGTGCTCGATTCACAAAGCACTCCTCTCCCTGAACATCCGTTCAGGGAGAGGAGTCTTTCAGGAGAGAGAACTAGGCCCACTTGACTTGTGGATACAAGTCAAGTGGGCACGAAATTCCCCAATTGCGCTAATGACGTGTTCTCCAGAGTTGGCCTAACATAGAATACTGTTCCTATCTCTGGGCTGGAGCTCTCCAATGCCAGCTTCTTCCACTCGACCGCATCCAGCACAGAGCGGCTCGAATCGTTGACGACCGAGTGCTTCCCGATCGGCTCAATTCACTAGCGCTGCGAAGGGATGTTGCATCCCTTTGCATATTCTGGCGCATCTACCATGGGGAGCGCTCTAAGGAATTGTTCGGATAAATCCCAGCCGTCAAATTTCATGAACGCACATCGCGGCAAAACTCCCGATACCATCCACAACATCTGGATGCTCGGCGGTCCACCATTGTACGATTCACCAGGACTTTTCTACCGCGTACGACCTCTCTGTGGAATAGTTTACTACCGGCATTTTTCCGGACCGATACTACTTAGGGACCTTCAAAAAAACAGCTTACTCCTTTCTAAAAGGCCGGCAACGTACCTGCAATTCCCCTAGTGTTGCAGTTGTTCATACGCGGCGGTAGTCACTTAACATCAGGAGAGCCGTGTGCTCGTTTGCCCCCTCTCCTATAAAAAAAGACAAAATTATTGCATTTTTAGACTTATTTAATTTAGTACTTTCTGCTTTTAAAAATCCGCCTTCCATGATGACTTTTCAAAATTCGGAATGAAACTCAACAATCGTAATGATAACTCGAAAATTTTAGAAATATTATACAGCACATTCGCTAGTTTAGATTTGAGGCACAGATAAAAAAAATCTTATAATTTAAATAAAATTTGTAATGAATTTTTATTAATAGAAATCAATATTTCTCGTTTGCTTTTTAACAAAACCTATCACAAATATATATTTTTTGAAGTTTTTACATGGTGTAAAATACCCTATTCAGCGAGTAGAGCAGTTTGTGGGCATAGAGGGCAACATCAAAGCAGGGCGAGGAGTAGAGCGATGAGCAGCGCGAGGGAGGAGTAGAGCGATGAGCATAGTGTGGCGGAGCCATTACGGTTCGAAGTGAGTGCTCTGAAGGTTGAACTTTTGTAAGCAGTTACTCTATGTAATGCAGGGTTTGTGAACTAAATTCTATGTATATGAATTTTCCTATAATCAATATACCTATACAAATAAATAAGATTGTGTTGCCGGTCTGTAATATCGAAAGAATTACTTTTTATTGAGCTGAATTTTAAACTACAAACTGGATTTCAAATTACATGCCATTAAGTCATGAATATTTATTTTCACCTGTCTGGAATAACTAATAATCTTCAGAATGACTAAACCGATTGTTGTGAAACTTCACGAACAGATAAAGAGTAATGCCAGGTGTGATTTAGACTAAATTTTATCCGAAAACCTTTGACCTTTTTTGAGATTTGGAATAATTATAAAATCAATTATCTTTGATGAATATCTTATATCTAAATAACGTCACATTAACAAAATTCCTGTCCGCGAAACAAACAAAAGAAATACGAACCTAAGCGAAGCCGGTGGCAAATAATATAATCGTAAATCGATCAGGCTAACATCAATTTTTCCGTACATGTTGTTTATTAGGCGGATATTTAAAAAATCTGATATACTTTAAAGAATACGCACGTCTTTGATACACTTAATACATTAAGTAACACTTATATAAATTTACTTACAGATATATGTTCAGTAACTGAAGAATTCTTTCCATTCTTTTCTTTTGGTAACAAATTTATTTCATTTTTTTTTAATGACGACTCAAATAACATAGGATCAAATGCTTTTTTATTTGTTTTATTAATAAAAGGCGCTCTACGTTTTAAAATTTTTTGACCAATTATAATTTCACTAACTTCATTTACTCGATCTCTTTGTACGTCAATGTTGTCTAGTTCAGAATCTGAATCACTCAATGACTTGCTACTCTTATGCGTCTGATGTTTTCGAATGATTGTTGGTGAAATATTTATATCGGAAAGCTGAGTGAGTTTTATCTGCTTTTCTGGAGGAAAAGTAGAATGTTTCACTTTTACAGTATTCAATTGTAAGTCATCAATAGAAGCTTTTCGAACCTTCACTCGATGTAAATTTAAGCCTTCTAAAGCAAGAGATTTACTTCTAGTTTTACGTTGAGCTTGTTTAGTGTTGCCTTTTAATTGGGATTCTTTTGAGATTTGAGATTTTAGTTTACCCTTTTTATCAAAATCATTTGGATACGGTTTGCTATTTTCCTTTGTATTTTTTCTTCGTTTTATGAATTCTGAGGCTAAAGATTTGCCATTAGTTTTATGTTCAGGTTCTTTTGTGTTACTTACTAATTGGGATTTTTTTAAACTTTTAGATTTAAGCTTATCCTTTTTAGCAATATCACCACCACTATCTTTTACACCTTTTGAATGATTTTTTTCTCCTTTCCCCACATCATTTTTTTTACCTTCATTTGTCGTTAAATTAGTATATTTTGCCATTACATCTCTGTCACCTGAATATGATTCTACTAATTTCGGTTTCGTGGATGCCAATTCATTTATATCTCTTCCACCTTGAAGCCTTCTTTTGTGTATATTAATTGTTTTTCCTGCTTTTGAGTCAGACTCAATCTTTTGTATATACTTATTTTCTACTTCAATAGCTATACGTGATGGAGAAGTACGTTTTCTTTTACTAATTTTAGTGGTTTCATTCAGTTCCAATTTGTTTCTTGCGATATCTGTTTTTATTTTAGTTTGTTCTCGTACATTTTTAACCAATTCAGTAGAACTTGTATATTTAATTAAATCACGATGCTCCGTGTTTATTTCAGGGAAAACATATTTGAATGATTGCTTGTCTTTAATAATTCTTTCTTCTGATACATTTCCTAAAATATCTTGTTTACTGTTAGTCGTGGCACAAATATGTAATGGAGACTCTAAATATGATATTTTTTCATGTCCTATCTCGATCTTTCTAAACATACAGAAAGTGATGTAGTTTTATATTTATTTAAGCTGAACTAGATGTTTTTAAGAAAATATGGTACTAACCTTTTATTGCTCAGTAAACGTTGAATTTCTGATATCCATTTAGTACCATCTGATTTTGTTTTACTTTTTAGTGTAATTCTACTTGAAATTAATTTATCATAAATCTCTTCACAAAATTTGCACTGTTTATCGTACTTCATCTCCTTATTTACACAGTTGTCACAAATAAAGATAATTGCACTTTTATTAACAGCCGTGCCTTGTAAAATATTACTGAACTGTTTAAATATATTTTTACAATGTTGGCAGCTAATTTGGCTTGCTTCTGAAACGCAAAGGGTAATAATTATATTTCAGTACCTTTTTGTTACTACTATCATATTATCATACAAACTTCGCAAAACATTTACCAATATCAATCAGTAATTCATTTGAATGTATTAAATGATCTTGTTTGTTATTAAAAACAACACAATGAGTTTCAAATAATTTCTTATCACTGCACACCTGAAAGTAACACGCGATTAGTAAAAGATTTGCAAACCTAAACCGTTTTTTATAAACATTATTTTTATAGGGTATAATTTATTTTCCTATTCTCTGATGAACATTGGCCTCTTTTTCGCCCCATACCGCTATAGAGAAACATTTGGGATATTGGGGAAAGATATTTGCCACGCTTGGCAAGTGGCTTGACAACCGCAATTTGGTTTTTGTTTCCCTTTTTCGCCCCTTACAAAACGCTACCCCATGGTAGTGGATATTCTTATGGACGCCACACACGGTCGTTTCAACTGATTATTGCAACCGATCACTTCAAACTAAAACTATTGATATTTTAAAAAATATCAACAGTTTTAGTTTGAAGTGAATTTTCGATATATCGATAATTATAAATATAACAATATGGGAGTTTTATATATAAGTTTATTTATCGATATATCGAATCGTTTTATTTGAACAGACCGTGTGTGGCGACGATTACACCGCCTATAACTCGGCTTACGGGTATTTATTTATGAGATTTTATTAAAAATTATATAAGCACTATTATAAAAACTAATAATTATTTTATTCATATAATTACATAAGAATAATGATAATGCTTTTTTTTTCAAACAGCATGCTAGCATGCAATTTTGAAAGTTTGGCTCGTGCTCACACTTCCGTCAAATGCAATTGCGTTATTTGTGTTTATCAGCTACAGAATGTAATTTATTGAATACCACGTCCATTTATCGAATATCACGTTCTTCTTTAATTATTTAGGAATAAAGATCCAAAAAAAGATCGGGAAGTCTAAACGAAGTCGCTTTCAAAGTGATATGACTGCTTATCTTTATTTCTACCTGATTAATGATTATATTATAGGCTTGTATATTATTTATTTCTTCCTGATAAAGAAAACGTAATAAATAGTGGTGGGATTTGAAGAATTTTAATAGTTACTTGATTTTAGATATCTGCAACCAACTTAAAAGTAAGAACGTAAACGCGCAACAAATGCGTTGTCAACTTTGGGGCCTAAGATGGAATGCCTCACATCATTCCTGAAATTATACTGTCTTTCTCAACGACTATACAGCCCGAATTCGGGTTGTGTAGTCGTTGGTTTTTCTATACACCCTAAGGGAGTCCTACCACCTATTAGGACTGTTTACGAGTATGTTTAACTTAGGACCTAGGACAAATAGTGTGACTATGTAAGTCCAATAATGATTTCTTATATTTACACGAATGCTACATATCGAATAATTAACGTTAATAATAATTAAGTAATTATTAATTAAAAGTAGAAGGTGGCTTTCGTTAACTATGGCATTGAGACATTAAACACCTCGGTCCCCCCTCCCGTGGGTGCTGTAAAGTGCCCATCGCGTTATACGTAGAGCCACGCTCCATCGACGGCTCCAACTAGGCTGAGTTACGACCGATTTCCCCATTACCTTATGATTGTAGGATGAATCTCACGATAATCGAAGATAGATGTAGATGCTTACAGTTCACAGCACTTACCATCAGTGGAACTGTGTGCTCATTTGTCACCTTTATTCTGAAATAAAAATTAAAAAGACGTACACTTCAACACTTGAAAACAAGTGTACTACAACCAATGCGTGTTGCCGGTGATGACATCTGATCTGAGTTTCTAGGTTGGCACAATGATTTCTTATATTTACGCGAACACTACACATTTAAATAAAACTAGTTTTTACAGATTTTATCGCATATATTAACTTTTTTATTTAAATTTCTAGGGTGGCAGTCCCGTTCTGGTAAGCGAAGTGTATTTTCATTGGGAGGCTTATTTTCAGCAGTGTATTTGTGATGGTCTGTAACCGTAATGATTATGATGATCTAACATATACGAGCTGAATCGGGATATTATAGGATATTCCCTATTTTAACTTTTGCCCTAAGTGTCAACCTTCCTAGCTCTACTAGCACACAGTGCAGCTTGTTAATTCGTAAACAAGGCTCTGACGATCGACTATCAGCGAAACATCATATAAAAACTGGCCTAGTGCGTGGCAGGCCACGCACAATATAGAGGTAGAAATAGGGTTCCATAGTTTCCCATCACAATACGTGCTTTCTTGATATGAGCATAATACGTGAGTTCGCGGTTTGACCGCTATATCGACTAAAATGGGTCCCAATAGGAAGATGATAACTGAAGGACTTATTATCAAATCAGACTTATAGGGATTGGTATTCAAAAGAGATTTCAAAAAACTTTTCGATTTTGAAAATAATGCAATTTACATCAAATCATTCACATGCCAAATCCGTACAAAGACGGTCATAGTTGACTATCTATCTATATATTCACGGCAGTGCAACCCTAAGATGTATATGACCGTAACGTACCTTCCCGTAAACCAGCACTGGCCTAAATTATCCTAAGGGTCGCCCGCGTAAACCAAGAGTATTACGAATGAAACTGTATGAGGCTGTTTGATTGTATGAATACTTTGAATGAGGCCTACAATAGCAAAAGTAGTAAATAAGAAAGATCCTCGCTCTCTATCTATCCCGCAAATAAAAAGTACAGTTATAGTTAGTAATGTATATATGTTGTTTCCTTCATAAAATATTTATTTCTTACAGTTCACAATGACATTACAAAGTTAAAATGCAGCTAGTTTTAGGTCATTTTCTATTTCCATCGAGTTGTAACGAATTTTTTAATTCAAGTGCATTTTATAAGTTGGTCGACTATTACTTGTTAACCTGTTAATTCTACTTTCCTGCGATAGATTTCCTTTTACCTTCATTATATATGCTACTATTGAGCATACCCTTCACATTTTCAAAAACAGCGGTTTAGTTGGGTAGAGGGGGGCACATGACTAATTAAAAATACGACTTTAAAGCTTAATACTTCGCAAACGAACCCCTGAATCGAAAATATGTCTTCCGTACCCCCAATTTTTTTGAAAGACCTATTCAACGTGTGTTCTATTCAATCGTGTGGATACCCCACACGATGGAATAGGCGGGTAAAAAACTCATCATCCATTGACCTATATAGGAGGCACCCAAATTAAAAATGTTATTAAGACTTTATTTTACAGTTTGGAGGCGTGATTAATATCTATAACTATGCGAAATTACAGATTTGTAGCACGTAGGGTCTCTGAGTAAAACCGCGTACGGACGGACATGGCGAAACTATAAAGATTCCTTGTTGTCTAACTACGGAATTCCAAAAACAGAATCATCTTGCAAAGTTTTCAAAACATTTTACAAAGTTGTGATGAAGCAGCGTTACGAGTGCAAGGATGTATCGGCTCAGCTGTGTTACGTTGGTGCGTAAATCTTTCGAAGGATGTTAACTAACGCATTCTTGGTCCACGTTTTGTTTAGGAGCCTAATTGGTATCTTTTATAATTTCTTACATAATTGTCACTTTTTAACCATTTCCTTCATGGCACAAATGTCCTGATGTTATTGGACTTTATTATTTATATTTAGATTTAGATTATACTTTGGTATCACACTAGTCATGAAACACGACCTACATACTTCTGGATAATGAACTACAAATCCTTGCAAAAAAAACAGATACCTGTTAAATACGGAGGTGAACTGAGGTTAGTGAAATAAAAAGCCTACTTTCAATAGTGCTTCTTTTAAAAGTTACATCATACAATACAAATTTTTATTATTGAATTTACGATTACGACTTTAACACCTCAAATTATGTACGCTCCGTGCACTTTACACTGATCAGACTATATCGGCAAAAAGTTAAAAGTTAACCATGGCATCAGTACGTCAAAAACATCAGTTTTCTCGCTAAATGGTTGCTTAAAAACAAATGAAACTCTTCGTTTTGCTTTAGCTTATGGGCACAAAAGCGTTATCGTTGCAATCCCGCCGGACAACGATAAATTCAGAGGTATAAGACTCACCATAAATTGTCGGTGATGCTAATTTTCCCTATACAGCATGGAGGACCATAGCCTAATTTTGTGACTGTAATAACTTTTATACAGAAAGAAACTGTCAAAAGAGAACAGATTTCTCTGAGAGACGACGCAGTAGTGGCTCTATAACTGGCGATTGTCTACCATAAACGAAACCTTTAGATTTATAGCCATTACGGTTAAAGTATCTTTAAAGCGCAAGCAAAGCGTAACCCAACAGGCCCGCAAGATTGACCGTAAGCACTTCTGAAACGAGCTAAAATTACTTTAAAATAGTAACCGGCGGTTAGTCTCTACGGAGACTAGCTATTTGTGCAGGACCATACACACTACGCCACAGTGCACGAGTGCTCTTTCTATTTTCTCACTCACAATAGATCGATAAGACGGCAATCCAATACGACTGGAGAGAATTCGACGCAGAATCAACGGCTTTTCGAGTTTTCTGAACAAGTTATTAACAGAAAAACCCAATAACTCATTTTTGCCACGATCTAGGATCTAAACCCGAGACCATACGATCAACAGTCGCGCTTACGACCACTAGAACTACGAGGCAGTGAACAAAAACTAGAACACGAAAAGGTACAGTTGCGAGCTCTCCGCACTTTTGGGTCCGCATAGCTGCAGCACAATTGGGTCCGCTTAACTGGAGTAGGACCAGTTAAAGTTAAGCTTACAGCCTATATACGTCCCAATGCTGGACACAGGCCTCCTCTCATTTCTGAAAGGGTTTTAGAGCAAGGAAATGTCCGCCGCGCGGCCCC